TGAATGATGATATTTCCAGGAAGGATGAGGACCGTGGAATTTCGTCTGCCCCGATAAAAATGGAATACCACCACCCACACCGCAAATGCATTAGCAACCACCTGACCCCTTGTAGAAGGGCAATATTTTTCTGATATGTTTTTACGATTGGTCTTCATATTTCACACCTGAGCTTCAGCTAAATATATTTACCCCACGTTGAGCTTGTAACGATAAATAATTTTTTTCACCTCTCCCCCTTGGGCTACATGAGACTGACATGTACCCCGATACATCGCTGGGTGAGGAGATAACAAAGCTTTATTAGAGATGATAGCGAAAGCCCATCCAAGATCCATTACACATGCACTTTCGTTGGCAAACAGATGAATTCTTTTTAGTTTACCTTCGATTGAATATTGCCGCGTGGGCGGAGCCTTTGAAATATTGCGATTGAATTATCGGTACTCCATACTTCTGCATCATACCACCAACGAGTTGGATATTAATTCAAATCCTTTGGGATTATCTTCTGATTGGTGGGATATTTACATTACGGCTTTGAGTTTCTCCTCATTTTTATTTTTGCATTTATCACATTTCACGCTGCATCGAAGATTTTTCAACGCGACAGAAATTCGATGAAAAAAATATTACTGCTATATGGAAAATACTTTCGCAATTGTCACTATAATTGATTTCATGTCATCTTTATTGAAATATAAATAAAATAAATAATCCGTTAATTTGAATTCCTGAATTGAATTTATTTATTTGAATTTCAAAATGTATTAATCACTTTACTTCATAAATCAACTTTTCGGTACATTCAAGAGATTTTCAGATTGATTTTCCCTTTGTTAATCAGTTCATTAAAAATTATTAATTGATTTCATATCACATTTCTTGAAATATAAATAAAATAAATAATCCATTAATTTGAATGCCAGAATTGAATTTATCTATTTGAATTTCAAAATGTATTAATCACTTTAGTTCATAAATCAAATTTTCAGTACATTCAAGAGATTTGCAGATTGATTTTCCCTCTGTTAATTAGTTCATTAAAAATTATTAATT